AAGAATGTCTTACTGACAGAACTTTTATTAGCACCTGAGGAAGATCCATTTGTGGGGTTGAAACGCGTTGTGCATTTATGTTGTTTTTTTTATCTATGTAATAAATCGTTTTTATACATCTGACTCTTTTTGGTGTTCCTGTTTCCAGCAATCCAGCACCTGTTGGGACCCCAACTGCTAGAGGAATTCATTTTATGTCTACAAGGAGACATACATGCTCCATAAGTCCAAAGCTAACTTTAATGGGCTCAGAAAATTGTGAGTGTTCTGAATTCTAAATCTTACTCACGACTTATCTTGACAGATTATATTATGTTGTGTTCTACTTCAGTTTTTATATATCATTAATATATGTAATTTTAAGTTAATAAGAGACTGTATTTGAGGTAATTAATCCTTTTCTATATGTACACTTATCACCTTGTTTGGTTTTACATTATGTCAGCTGTCACTTCTTGAAAGATGCATTCAAATGCTTTTTCTTTGGCTCTAGACAATATTTGTGGCATGCATCATCTGTCAATAAATCTCTTCCAGATTTCCTGAAGTTGCCTCTCCTTATTTTCTGATTCACTGTTGTATCTGAGAGCTCTCATGAACTGGGAGATTGACAATGACTCTTTGAAATGTTTTGAATGGAAACTGGAAGCCTGGAGTAATTTGTTTATGTATGTCTCCTTCCAGTATAGGGTATACCCCAAGGTGTGATTCATTTTATATTCAGTTACATCCAAAATATTAATTGTAGTCTGGTCCCATGTCCAACATTGAGTTCAGGTCACAACTGGTGCCCTTGCAGATGACAAAGATGTCATCCACAAATCTCATATATTTTGCAATATTGTCCTTATAAGTGGATAAAATATATTTCTGTTTGAACCAGAACAGACCGTGCTCACCAAGACGATCGGTCTCCCTGGTGGTTTTTTAGCGTCCTTGTGTTTGGGGAGTGTGTATAACACAGGATGTCTTGGATGTTAACATACAGGTATTTTGCCATATTGTTGTTGAGGTATCCCAGTTAAAGGCCAATGCCTATCAAGTCACTAAATGTTTTCTGAAACATGTCGTTTTCTTTTTTATGAGATATATATATATATATATATATATATATATATATATACAGTTGCAAGAAAAAGTATGTGAACCTTTTGGAATGATATGGATTTCTGCAGAAATTGGTCATAAAATGTGATCTGATCATCATCTAAGTCACAACAATAGACAATCACAGTCTGCTTAAACTAATAACACACAAAGAATGAAATGTTGCCATGTTTTTATTGAACACACCATGTAAACATTCACAGTGCAGGTGGAAAAAGTATGTGAACCCTTGGATTTAATAACTGGTTGAATCTTCTTTGGCAGCAATAACTTCAACCAAACGTTTACTGTAGTTGCAGATCAGACGTGCACAACGGTCAGGAGTAATTCTTGACCATTCCTAGTTACAGAACTGTTTCAGTTCAGCAATATTCTTGGGATGTCTGGTGTGAATCACTTTCTTGAGGTCATGCCACAGCATCTCAATCGGGTTGAGGTCAGGACTCTGACTGGGCCACTTCAGAAGGCGTATTTTCTTCTGTTTAAGCCATTCTGTTGTTGATTTACTTCTATGCTTTGGGTCATTGTCCAGTTGCAACACCCATCTTCTGTTGAGCTTTAGCTGGTAGACAGATGGCCTTAAGTTCTCCTGCAAAATGTCTTGATAAACTTGAGAATTCATTTTTCCTTCGATGATAGCAATCCGTCCAGGCCCTGACTCAGCAATGCAGCCCCAAACCATGATGCCCCAACCACCATACTTCACAGTTTGGATGAGGTTTTGATGTTGGTGTGCTGTGCCTTTTTCTCGCCACACATAGTGTTTTGTGTTTCTTCCAAACAACTCAACTTTGGTTTCATCTGTCCACAGAATATTTTGCCAGTACTGCTGTGGAACATCCAGGTGCTCTTGTGCCAACTGTAAACGTGCAGCAATGTTTTGTTTGGACAGCAGTGGCTTCCTCTGTGGTATCCTCCCATGAAATCCATTCTTGTTTAGTGTTTTACGTATTGTAGATTCGCTAACAGGGATGTTAGCATTTGCCAGTGACTTTTGTAAGTCTTTAGCTGACACTCTAGGATTCTTCTTCACCTCATTGAGCAGTCTGCGCTGTGCTCTTGCAGTCATCTTTACAGGACAGCCACTCCTAGGGAGAGTAGCAGCAGTGCTGAACTTTCTCCATTTATAGACAATTTGTCTTACCGTGGACTGATGAACAGCAAGGCTTTTGGAGATACTTTTATAACCCTTTCCAGCTTTATGCAAGTCAACAATTCTTAATTGTAGGTCTTCTGAGAGCTCTTTTGTGTGAGGCATCATTCACATCAGGCAATGCTTCTTGTGAAAAACAAACCCAGAACTCTTGTGTGTTTTTTATAGGACAGGGCAGCTGTAACCAACACCTCCAATCTCATCTCATTGATTGGATTCCTGTTGGCTGACATCTCTCTCCAATTAGCTCTTGGAGATGTCATTAGTCTAGGGGTTCACATACTTTTTCCACCTGCACTGTGAATGTTTACATGGTGTGTTCAATAAAAACATGGCAACATTGCATTCTTTGTGTGTTATTAATTTAAGCAGACTGTGATTGTCTATTGTTGTGACTTAGATGATGATCAGATCACATTTTATGACCAATTTGTGCAGAAATCCATATAATTCCAAAGGGTTCACATACTTTTTCTTGCAACTGTGTATATATATATATATATATATATATATATATATATATATATACAGGGCCGGATTAAGAGCACACTGGGCCTGGTGCTGACAATTATGATGGGCCTAATTACGGAATTTTATGGACCAAAAACACTAAAACAGTCATACATCCCAAGCGTCATGTATCTGATGGAGATGGTGCTGGAGGGAAACTCATAGGATGCAGCTATAAGATAAAACATAGTCTATGCTTATCTCTCTCTAATTTATGCTTTCATCTTTCAAGTAAATCCATACCCCCTAACAGCAGTGTCCAGTGAAGCAGGAAGTCAATAGGCGGGGTAAAAGGGTGGGCCACTGGTGCGAATCACGTGACCAGACCTGCCAAAAGGGGTGAACATGCCCAAAAAGGGGGCATGTCTGTCCAAAGAATTTGAAGGACAGCCTGGCATGAATGCATGTCAGGCTGCCCGCCTATCCTGCAGGCTGTCCAACTAAGGGCATACTATGCAGGCAGCACCCTGAGCTTGACATACATGCATCTAATGATGCGCTCACTCCATGCTTTCTAAGGACTGTCCCCTAGCACTCGCTGGTCCACTTATCTCCTTACCTTCTTACTAGCAGGCAGAAGCTCCTGGTATATAATCTGGGACAGAGAAAAGATGTATGTAGTGAGTGTAGAAGAAAGGGGACATGCCACAGTGTTAGAGAGGCCAATGTCTGCATTACCTAAACTAATTTTATTGTCATCCAGTCCACACAAGTTTTGTTCCCATACATTCCTCTTAAGCTTACAAACTTAAAGGGACACTATAGTCACCAGAACAACTACAGCTTGTTGTATTTGTTCTGGTGAGAAGAATCATTCCGTTCAGGCCTTTTACAGTAAACACTGTCTTTTCAGAAAAAATAACTCCACTGACCACTCCTTAGATGGCTGCTAGAGGTGCTTCCTGGGGCAGTACTGCCTAGTGTGCAGCACTGCCATTCAGTGTCTCCACCCTCTGCATGCAGACACTGAACTTTCCTCATAGAGATGCATTGATTCAATTTATCTTTATGAGGAGATGCTGATTGGCCAGGGCTATGTTGGACTTGTGCTGGCTTTGCCCCTGATCTGCCTAGTTGACAGTCTCAGCCAATCCTATGGGGAAGTATTGTAATTTGCTCAGACCACCACTTCTGATGATGTCAGCAGACAGTCAGTTCAGAGGCAGAGCCAGCAGCTGCAGACTTGAATACAAGTTATATTTTACTATACTTAGGGAGGCAAGAAGGGGCCAGGGTGGTGGTTTTAACATAATAGGGTCAGAAATACATGATTGTGTTTCTGACCCTATAGTGCTCTTTTAAGCAAGAGTATGTGAAGAGTAGTTAGGGTTGCCACCTTTCTTGGAAAAAAATACCAGCCTTAATCATTTGTATAATCACAAGGAGTGACATCAGAGAAAATTCTGTAAATCACCAACAAACTACTCACAGGTTGATTCTGCTGTATAGATGGATTGCTACCAGTGTCTCAGTCTCGCAAGTCACCCAATGTCTCAGTGTTCTATGTATCACAGTGTCAGTGTCCCCATGTCGCCCACTAGGACATGGGGACACAGACATTTAGGGAAACTGTGAGAAATGGGGACACTGAGACACTAGAGACACAGACACTGGGAGACATGGGGAAACTGAAACATTTGGGGACACTAAGACACTAGGGACACAGAGACATGGGGACACAGACACTGGGAGACTAGGAGACACTGGTTGGGAGACAGACACTTGGGGACACTGGGAGACATGGGACAGTTGTGGACATAGACATGGGGACACTGGGACATATAGGGACACTGGGCACACTGAGAGACATGGGACACAGACACTGGGAGACTTGGGGACACTGAGACTCTAGCAACACTGGATGGGGGACATGGGGACACTGGGAGAAATGTCTCCGTGTCCCAATGTCTCAGTGTCTCCCAATGTCCCTATGTCTCACAGCATCCCCATGTGTCCCAGTGTACCCTTGTGTCTCAGTGTCCCCATGTTTTCCAGTGTCCCCAAGTGTCAGTGTCCCCATGTTTTCCTGTGTCCCAGTGTTTCCAGGTCTCCCAGTGTCTGTGTCCCCTAGTGTCTTTGTCCCCATGTGTCTCCTAGTGTATGTGTCACCTTGTGTCTGTGTCCCCATATGTCCCCTAGTGTCTCAGTGTTCCCTAGTGTCTCAGTGTCCCCATGTGTCCCTGCTGCCTTTCCCCCCATCCCTCACTTACCTGAGCTGTAGAGCTGCTGTCTGGACTCTCTGTGCTGTGTTGCTGCTCCCCCACGGATCAGTGAGTAGTAGAGAGAGGCAGGGATATGCTGTAACTTCCTATCCCTGCCTCTCTCCACACACAGTGACCCCTACTGGCCGGTGCTGGTATTGCAGAGTAATCTCCATTTATTCTGAGAAAAATACCTGCATTTGTATTGCCGGTATTACTGCAATACCGGCATGGCCAGGCAGCCTCAAATACCGGCTGTGCCAGTAAAATACCAGTCAGGTGGCAAACCTAAGAGTAGTGTGTAAAAAAAAAAAAAAAATTTTTTTTTTTTTTTTTTAAATGGGCCTATTCCATGGGCCTGGGCCTGGAGCTGCAGCTCCATCAGCCCCTATGTTAATCCGGCCCTGTATATATATCTAAAACGTCCCAGAGAAATGTACTCAGAGGGCTTGTAGTCTGTAGACTGTAGCAAAGGCACAGTCAAAGTTTCAGCCTGACTTTTTCAAGACCTGGTCTTGGCACGAAATAGCACCGAGGCAAGAACAGGACAGGATATATATTACATTGCTAAACACAAAAATACACACCTATCAAGCCAGAAGTCTTCTGGCTTGACTGGTGTGTGTATTTCTGTTTAGCAGTGTATTAACTATCTACTTACTTCAGGTGGAAGGGGTTTTCATCCACACTTTTTTCCCCACCACAACTATTTTGGTATGCCAAGCCTCCATTTCAAGCCAGTAACCAACCTCATGCTGATGAGTTGCATTAACAATGTAACAGCTGTCCATGAGTGTTTCACTGGCTTTGCTCCTCTTCCTGAATTGTGTTTCAAAGCTGTTGTATACAGCAGACACATACACCAAGAAATCCATGGTTTTCATCCACACTCTTTTCCCCACCACATATATACACACACATATACATACACACATACACACACACACACACACACACACACACACACACACACAGGTATTGCCAATTGGCACTCTTTTATTATATAATTGAAAGATCATCTTTTCTAATTCTACTTCTTGAGGCAAAGGAAGCTGAAGCCATATTGTAAGGGCTGAAATAAACAAATTCCACATTAATGTTACATTACACCTAATACAATCTAACTAGCAAAATAGCCAAATACAAAATTAAATGAGAAAGATATAAACATGACAAAAATGAATGTAAATCCTACCTTGTATTAGATGAACTAGTAAATTCCAACACTGGCAGGCAAAAAACCCAAACTACTATACACCAGGACCACTTAAACATTTTTCACCCCTAACCACTTTTAAATACACTCCTGGAGCTTTAAAAATGCTAGTCTGTGCGCAATGCATTCCGGTAGATGCCGATCAACCATATTGGAATTGCCAATCGTGTCTCGAAAGAGGTAACAAATTTCATTTTCAAGCCATCGCACTTAGAGACCCAATAACTCTAATATTGGAGGACACAAATCACTCCTATAAGACCTAAAAACACGGTCTTACACTAACCCATGAGAAGTATCTGATTGCAACCGCCATTATCGGACACCCAAACAGAAAACCAAGCAGCAAGTAAAGAAAAAGCTATGCTAAAAGCTTTAAAAAATGAAAAACTCACCGAAGACAAGTAAATTATTGCTTTCTTACCACCTCAAAGCAAATATATACATCTTCAGTTACTATATACTACTATAGTGACCTTAATCCATACTGCTTGAGTTGTATCTGGGTTCCGTCCTAGGGAGAGAGGTTGAATTCCCTAGAAGGGCCATATCTGTCATGTCTCACACTGTATCATGGTCAACGCAGAAATGCCCAACAGGGGATTTGAACTGTGGTTCTTCTTTGCTGTAGTCCTGCAGCTTTGCCTCAGAGCCACTCTCCCATTCTTGCTTTACCCTATGTTTATTCCTGCCTTATCTCCAGCACTGAGTGCTGGGCATTACCTGTGGCTGCTCCTATCAATCTCAGCCCCCCTGAAGCAGATGCCTAACTAGACAGGCATAAGACACTTCCTCTCCCTAAGGGCAGTGTCAGTTCATTGACTCTGGTTCCTGTGTTTGTATACATGATCCAGTGTTCTCCAGTTGGCTCCTGACCTTTGCTTTCTTACCATGTATCCTGACTTCTGGCATCCTCTGACTTTGGCTTACCCTTGACGATTCTACCGCTTTTATCCTTACCTGTACTGCGACTTGGAGCAATATCCTGCACAGACTCACAGGCCAGGTGAATTCTTACCTGACCACCTTGGCCTGTGTTTAATTGCAAGGGTGAGCGTAAATCTCTGACTACCGGACTCCCAACTAAGGTAAGCCATGACAATATCTATCAACTTATACAGGTGCATTTTAAAAGAAAAATGTTTCTGAAGGACAAGAATTAATGACTGATAATGGGGAGGTGTAACCTTTTATAACATTATTTTAATTTGATTATTCCTGTCCTATCAGAGTTAGGAGTTTAACCATGAGTGAAGTTGATATGGATTAGCCAAGAAATAAGCTTTGTATGCAGTGTCAACTTTTTTGCTAGTAGTTTCTATAAAATTGTGTTAGATTAGTGAATAGACAGTGACCAAGGAGGATAAACTTGATTAGTTTTACAGTGACCTTTCCCACAGCATTTTAAGTAGCCGTAATTAAAATAATGCTATAAATGAGAAGTATATAGTGCAGTATTTGCATAGTAGTTTATAAAGTTGATACAATCATTTCGAGATCAATCTACATAATATTCAGAAAGAACTATAAACTGCAGGAAAAATGTAATTGTGATCTAGTAAATTTTATGCCATTTCTGAACTATTAGGCATTCTTCTGAGGCATGATGCAAAGTTACAATACATAATTCCCTACAGAGCTTGATACACTATTTGAAGACTGTATTAAATTTCTGGCATGATATGTAAAATACCTGGAAAGCAATTATGTTAGTAATACCAGCATATCAATATGCACTTTCTCCATTAATTTGAAAAAGATTTGCCAGAAGAAGATATTGAAACAATTCCATTTGGCAAAAATGCCTGCCAGAAAATATTTTACTATGAACAATATGTTTAGCATAGTTTTACATTAGTTCATATCATTTGCTGTATTTTGTATCTTTTATTGAATTCAAGGTCGGGATTTATTCTATGCCTTGTTAAACCACTAATTACTTCCTCTTATTCTCATTAAAACAAATAATTAAATGGAATTAGGGTGATATAAATTCAGTGAAGTGTATGTTATCATAGCAATGCTTTTGCAGATTTTTACGAATGCTGTTAACTAGATTTGTACATTTGGCTTCAAACAAATTGTGATTTGTAGGAACGATTGGATGATTGGTGGTTCTTCTGAATTCCAAAACCTGGAAGTGCTAAATGGACGATTAAAGAAACAAATGAAATAGGCAATGGACAAACAGTTTGTTTGTTTTTCGTGATTTGGAGTTCTGTCTGTTGTGCCAAAAAAAAAAAAAAAAAAGAGATGATTATTTGGAAAAAAAGATGATGGTTAGCCAATAAATGTTGATTTTATTCTTAGATCAAGTTAGAGGGAAAATAAATCTATATTTATATACTATATTGATAAAACAATATTTTTTCTCTGTTCCTCGTTTTTTCTCTCTATTGGTTATTTCTTCTTAATCTGTGAACCAACTAGCAGGAATATACATCTATCAGTGTACTGTAAAATATATGCAAATTATTAATATGTATATATTTTGTAGCACACTGATTGGCCCATTTTTGTCAGAATAATTATTCCTGATATGATTGCATGGTCAAAATTAGCCTGAACCGAAGCACCACATGAATGTATCCTGAATCAAGCGACTACATTTTTTCAGATGAATTGATTTGGCAAATTTGTTCACTATGCAGAAGTCTACTGTTGTTCTCTCTTCAGGATTCTTGTGTCTGTCATTCTATCTGAAAAACACTAGTCAGACACCAATCATACAGAAACAATAACAGCTTTATTTACTAATTGGTGGTGAAAATGCTATAACTGAGTAAGTTACATTCAAAAATAATTTTATTGATTCATGATATTTACTATAGTGACTCATAAGCAATATGTGCATCAACTGCATAAAAGTTTGCTGTCTCTAGGGTGCCCGAACCCACCATGCTGCTGACTGAGTGGATTGATTATTGGGAGGCTGGGAATGAGCTGGCGGTCATCGTCCATATTGGTATCAATGATAACATTACAGGAAGATGGATAATGGATAATAAATAATGAGTTCAGGGAATTAGGTAGCAAACCTAACAAGAGGAGGTATTTTCTGAGATATTACCTGTGCCATGCGCTACAGAGGAAATGCAGCGGGAGATTAGAGAGGTTAATGCATGGCTAAAGTCTTGGTGTAGGATGAAGGGTTTGTTGGTTTTTAGAGAATGGTGCCGATTTTTGCACTTAGATACAAAATGAATAGCCATGATTGATTGCCATCCATTACCTGAATGGAAGAGGGCCTTTTGTGCTTTTGTGCTTCTTCATCGAGTAAGAAGAAGTCTGGGCAGTTTACCGAGGAAACTCCAGAATGTCACGGAATTAAACTGAAATGAGAGTGTGAAATGGGTTAGAATGAGATCTTCGAACTGTTTGTTACAGTGACCTTGACCCTCTAACAATACTTCAATGGTAAGGGTATATCTAAAATTTTTATTAAACAATTAAGTGTAAATGCAGATATATACTAACCACTGTCTAAATGTGCTTGCAGGTGAAAACCCAGATAATGACAGAAGTAGTGAAATAAATGAGGAAGAAGGTAGGTAATACCAGAACTCGGATGTTCCATCTTCCCTAGGGTGGGAAAATACTCGCCTCCTGTCATTATTAAAATTAAGATTATAGGTACACTGACACTATTATAATCTTCAATTTTATCACATGACAGGAGGCTTCCTATTTTGCATTTTTAATGCTGTAATAGTGATAAGGCCGAGTTGGAGTTCGGGCGGAAATAGAAAGTGCGAAACGTGGATTCTCTGGACCAGTCCGCGGAACGTAGGATATCCGATAATGAGGCACCCGCTGCGAAAGCTGAGGAAGCCGCCGCTCCGCGTACCAAATGGGCCCTGAAAGAAGCGTCTATGCCTGCTAAAGAAAGAAGCCACCGAATCCATCTGGCTAGGGTAGTAGTAGTAATGGGGACATATGGTCAAACGTACGACACGAGGAGTTGCCCCGTTGTAGTCGAATGCCCCTTGAAAGTCGGCATATCAGTTGGTCTTTTCCTACTGGGATCCCCAGTGTGGGAATGTGGGCCACTGAGATGGCTGAGTGGATTACATTAATCGTCCTGAGGAGAACAGGT